GTTTTAGTTTGCTTGGCTTCACAATCAACACTCTTGGTACCAGAAGCCAGGAAATCAAGAGACAAATTGCACTGGGAAAGTGAACTGTCAGGAACCTCTCCAGAGTACTGAAGAGCAACGAAGTCAGGTTGGAGACTAAGGTGTGCCTGATACAGGGTATAGTCTTTGGAATTACGTGCTATGCATTAGAAAGCTGGACAGTGATTAGTGATGATAGAGAATTGATGCCTTTGAGCTGTGGTGCTGGAGAAGAGTGCTGGACTGCTAGTAGAACAAACAGGTTTGTCCTGGAGAGGGTAAAACTGAGCTGCTCCTTCGAGGCACGGCTTCTGAAGCTTCATCTGATATTCTTTTGGCATGTTGCAAGGAGAGACCAGTTCTTGGAGAGGGACATCTTGTTTGGGAGGGTGGCAGGACAGTGTAGGAGAGGAAGATCCAGAGTGAGATGGATTGACTCAGTAACTGGAGAAATGGGATTATGTCTGTTAGAGATGATGAGATTAATTCAGGATATGACAGCTTTCAGAGCTAATGTACATAGGGTCGCTATGAGTTGCATGCTACTTGATGGCACATAACAACTCCGTAATGATAAACTCTCTACACTAGATGTCACCTACGTTATTGCATTCTTTTTCAGTTAATGACCATAGAAAGTTCTTGAATTTAAAAAATCACTAAGAGTTCAAACCTCTCAAATTTGTCAGTGCTGATTCTTAGTGCTCTTAGTTATAAATCTGGAATTAAGCCTAATGGTTCTTTATATTGCCAGTTATAATTTGTCTGCTACTACTTTTTGAGTGCTGCTGCTTTAACCAAATGAAGTTGTGTCTTCCAGGCTTACCATGTTCTGCATTGAGCAGATGGCTCTAAAGGATACTACCTTAATCCACCCTGCCCCTTAACCCCATGTCTGTCAATCCACTTTGTATAATAGAGCATGTAGAGATCACAGAAGTAGGGCTATGGAAAGATTCAGAGCCTCTGTAGTCAGGACAATGCCCAATCTCACAGGAAGCAGCTAGAACAGTCATTGCCCAAAACCTCTCCAGAAGGGAATGCTAGGATTAGAACCAATGATATGGGGGAGGTAAAAGTTACATCAGAGCCAGGAAGAAAATATTAACATACATAAAATTAGTGTGTTAAGCACATAGTAATGTCAGAAGTAGTAGACTCTTTGGGAACATGAATGATGTCAGAAAACAGGGACCAGAATGAGGGCCGCACTAAACTTTGAATTCTCTGTGGTATCATTTCATTGGCCCAGACTCGAGGCCCAAGTCCCACCAGAGAAGGAGGTCGTGAATAGAGCCTCATTTCACTAGCACACTGCCTCTCCTCCATATTTTCTTTCAAGAAGGGAGGTCTGTTCATTTGAGTTGTAACTTTCTAATAAGTGGATCTTTATGTTTTGTTGTTGTTATGTGCCATCAAGTTGCCTGTGACTCATAGCAATCCTATGTACAATAGCTCTGAAACCTACCCTGTCCTAAGCCACTGACTCCAATACACCAACCCCTATCACTCAAGTTATTGTATTAATACATCTCATCTCGGTTTTCCTCTTTTGTGCTGTCCCTTCACCCTTCCATGCATGATATCCTTCTCCGACAATCGGTCCCTCCTGGCCACATGCACAAAGTATGTGAAATGGAGCTTCAAAATCCTAGCAGCCAAGGAGAAATTTGACTTCACCTTCTCCAAGACAGATCTATTTGTGTTCGTCCATGGTATGTTCAAAACTCTTCTCCAGCACCACAATTTAAAGGCTTTGCTTCTTCTGTCTTTCTTAGTCATTATCCAGCTCTCTGATAACAAGTAATTGCAAAGACCATGGCATGAATCAGGAGCACATAAGGCTCTAGACTGAAATCATTGCTTCTCAGTACTCTAGCAAGGTCCCTGACTGCAGATTTACTTAATGCAATCCATCTTTTGATTTCCTGACTGCTGATGCCAAAAGTGTTGATTGAGGAACAAAGCAAGCTGTAACTGTTAACAACTTCAATCTCTTATCCATCTATCATGATGCTGCCAATTCACCCAGTAAAAAAACCCCAAACAATAAACACCACCAATCAAAACCAAAGTGGTGATGGTGTTATATACAATCAAGTCAAAACCGACCCATAGCTGACCCTCCAGTGAGTTTTCAGAGGCAATTAGTCACATGGGAGGAGATTGACCAAATCTCCTAAGTTTATGGTCTGCTTCATTTATATTTCCATGCCCTACCAACCTGCACCAAAAGGCTTCATCTGGTTCTGTTTCCCCTTTTCTGATACGTATTGTGCATTTCTGCCTTTCTTTGTTATATGAATATCCTGATTAGTCTCTGATAAGATGAAGATACAAGGTCGCTACCCATGCTATTTTTTAAAAAAAATACAATGCAAGCTTTGATTCAAGCTATACATAAACAAATATTCATATCTAGGAAATCAGGAAGCAAAATATATGAATACTCCTTTATCATCTTGATGTAAATGAACCTTCAAAGACTTATATAAATCTTTCTGTAAAATGTAACCTTCAGGAGTTTCAGGTTCGTTCTTTATCCTTTTCCCTCTATATAGTATATGCTGGTATAAACAACCTTTTTCCCCCCTTCCAGGTCTTGAAATTAGTTTATTTTGATAATTTTTCCAGTGGTAGAAGCAGTTAAGCTGTCTTTAACTTTGATAAATTTATTAATTTCACTAATCAAAAGTCATACCAGTTGCTCAATAGTTTAACAGTTTCAGATGTCTTTAATTTTACATTACATAATCCAGTTAGTCTGTAAAAAAAAAGTTTCTACAATATATACCAGTAACATTAAGACACTGCAACTCATTTCATTTGTGGTAAAAGTCCATTTTGCATGTGGTTTTCTTTAATAGTAATTTATTAATTTTAATCATATTTCAATGAAAGTTTACAGAAAAGTTGGATTTTCATTCATTCATTTTTGCATATTTTTCTCCCTCACACTCCCCCAGTTTACTTTTTTTAACTGCAGTTAGTAAGCCCTGCCTGACAACACTGAAGGAATTCTCCCCTCTTTTGTGTTTTAAATATTCATTCACTGTTGTACAACTGCCTCCCTCCCTTGACCCTTCCCTCAGTCCTCTTTGCAATGTACCTCTTATTCTGGACTGTTGTCCTACATATAGTGCCTAATCATATAGTCTTTTAAACAATTCATTCCTTCATCTATTCCAATGGAGTGTTCATTTCCTATCCATTTTTTTCCTATTCTATTCGCAACCTCTCGTCAGTCCTACTTTATGACAGTATTATGCAGTATTTGTCCTTTAGAGACTGAAATATTTCACTCAGCATAATATCCTCCAGGGTCGATAAATTACCTTTCTTGACTTTTAGTAAATGGAGTAGTTACTGGTGGTTTTTATCTCTACAGCAATATTATTCAAAAGGGTGACCCTGGAGGACATTATGCTGAGTGAAGTATCTCAGTTGCAAAAGTACAAACACTGCATGACGCCACTGTTGTAAAACAGGACTGACCTTGGGGTTGGAGGAGACTGAGAAAGATGTGTTCAGAAAACTGTTTAAAAGGGATAAGTGATTAGGTATTTTTGTCATGACAGGAGTCCAGAGTGAAGCAGAGTGGACATGGGGGGAGGGATTGTAAAACAATGAAAGAATTTTTCTTTTACTTTTCCAAAAGGGTAGTGTACTGGGGGGAGGGGGGAGAGTTGGGAGGGGAGAAAAGCGCAACAACGAATGAATGGAAATCCAGTCTCTGTAAATTTTCATTGAAATTAGTAATAATAAAAAAAGAAAGTAAAAAAGTATTTCCACATCCCTCCTTGAATAGACACATGTAGGTGTCAATGAAAATAGATTCAGAGAATGACTGCATATACGTCCAAAAGTCCACGGTTATTTAAGACTTTTAAGGGAAAGCAATTCTCTTTTTGCATATTATTTCTCCTCAGTGGTTTTAAAGACCCAAACCCAGACTTAGCAATATAGAACACTAGTGGGATATCAGCAAGTGAGGCAGGGCCAGGGATCTGAGTGAGCTTGGGTAGATGGGCAGGTGGGCTTCACAGGCTGCATCAGGAGCTCTCGCTGTCCTGTCAGCTCAGGTGGGACAACCGCAGATCAGCTGGAGGTGCTCGTCCCTCCTTAACAAGAGGCTTTCTCTTGCTCCACTCCTGCTGCACCCCCCCGCCCCCCGCCCCAGCTGCAGCGGCTTCAGCTACCTCTGGCCTCCACCAGCAGTTCCTGCAGCAATGGCGGCAGCAGTGGAGGAAGGCCACAGGAAGTAGACACAATGCCCTATTTCTCAGAATGTGTAATAGATGCACACCTGTATACAAATTCTTTTTTAAAAGTTGAGGAGAACAAGTTGATCGCTTAGAAGACAAAGTTATTCCGTTGATCTGATTTGCAATACCTTTTTTGTGTGAGAAATTTTGAGATAAAATCAAAGCACCAGTGGGTCAAAAGAGTTCTTTTTAATCCCTAATAGCTAAAACACAGAGCTACAAAGGTCTCATATATTAACAGTAAACAAAACTAGACACTCCTCAAGGTCAAATAACTTTCAGGTGCACTAACACTCCAACTGGCCAGAGACTTCTACATTGTCTACAAGTAAAAACAAAGACCCACCAAGTTAATAGGCAGAGATTTAAATGGCTGGATAGAATTACAGATTCTCCCATTTGCAAATAAACCATTTTATGTTTTTATTTTCATATAAGAGAAGATTCTGTGGACTGGAAAAATAATTCGGTCAATCTCCAATTCCTCACTTAGGCCAAACACGGCAGTGCCCCAACTTATAAGAAGATCAGCTTATCAGAAAACAAAGGACTGAGTGGATTTTTCCTTTACCTGCATTCCAGTCCCAAATAAGGTAACAAATAAAAATAAAATTAAAATAAAACCTAATAATAAGAGGCATGAGTGATTGGATGAGGGTTTGGGGTTTTTTTCTTTCTTCCTGGCATTCTTCCTCTCCAGCGTTTTGACAAATTTTTCTACTCACAGAAGAAGTCCATATCCTGGATAAGAAGAGAAAGATTAGCAAGCAGAGTCTTAAAATAGATGCAGACAATTTATTTAAAATTATATATAATAAAAGAGAAATGTGGATTTAAAATAAATGGAAGTTTAACCCCAGAGTTTGAAATAGTTATCACTTCGAGTAAAAAAAAGACTTAAAAAAATCCTCAAATAAACATTTAATTTATGGCTATTTGAGAGGATCAAGCATTATGCCAAAAAAAACCAAGCCAAGTGAGTTACAGCTGGGTGGGTTGCATCTCTATTTTGAAGCTATTTTGAATAGAACTTAGCTCCAGAAGAATGGCTTCCATTCTCCAGAACAATCACATTGTAAAGTAGCTCAGAGTTGATCTTTTATTTCTTTCCTGCATTTACAGGCTCATGGAGCACTAGAAAACCTATTACTCTATTTCCTACAAAGCAGAGCATATCCACCACAAAAAGAAGGCTTTCAAAGATTTCCCTCCCCCAGAATTCTCTAATTTTATCAAGTAAAGATGCTATTTAATATTAATCCAAGTCTTTATGAAATAATTGTCAGAGTTAATTAGCTTTTTAAAAATGTTTTCTTTGGGTCTTGAATTTTTCTAAGGTAATTTTCACGATGAAGAAAAGTGATGAAGCAATACAGAGAAAGTCTGCTGATGTTTTGTTATTAACAGTAGGTATAAGCACTTCTTAAACCTTCATTATTTTAAAGATTTCCATTGGAAATGGGGGGACGTTGACCTGTCTTGAAAGGTGCATGAAGCATTTTCAACACCAGCTTACATTACTCCAAAGTCAGAGTCCTCAGCACCTGCGAGGCTTACCGTGGTGGGAAGTTCCTTGGTGGCCACTTTATACACATGCTGCTCGTGGACCAAGGTGCTGGGAAAATAGCCCACATTCCCCATCTTGTCTTCCTGGCCATCACTGTAGATCTAGGTGCCCAAAACAGAAACAGTTACAGGAAAACTGACAGAAGGGTTCTGAGAAAACTTTGCATGCTCCTTTTTGCTAAGAATTATTGCATAATTGCCAGTGCCTCCCTTTTCGCTCTAGACCCCAGAGGGGCTGAGATCCATATTGAAAGCTCAGTCATAGCAACTAAACTGTCCAGTCTTACTTGTCTCACTAGTTATGAAGGAACCCCTGGGTGGTACAGCTAACATGCTTGCCTGCTACCTGAAAAGAACGGAGCCTTGAATCTACCTAGAAGGCACCTGAGAAGGCAGACTTGCTTGAATTTTCTGAAAAACCAGTGATTGACAATTTTATGGAGCACAACTCCCAACATACTTCTGGGTCGACTTAACAGCAACTGGAACAGGCTTTTATTTTTTTCACTCTTGTCTGTTTCCTGGAGTGTTTTGGGGAATCTGTAAACAGGTTGGTTTTGGAGGTTTTCTGTTTTTTGTGTTTTTTTTTTTATTTAGAAAAGTAACAACTTTTGTTGCAAACAACTTCTATTTTTCTGATTTTATAAAATCCAAGTGGCATATACTTAAGTGAATTTGAGGTTTAATTCTTTATTGAGAACCTATCTTTGGGACTGTAGGTTAGGGCAAGCCAATAACTTGACTCATAGCTGACTGTCCAACAGGTTGTCAGAGGCTGTTAATTGAACAGAGGAGATTGTCCATCTTTCTCCCGAAAAGCAGCTGGTGGATTAGAACTTGCCTTTGGATTGGCAGAGCAACTTCTTGCCCAAGTAGGCCACCAGAGCAGGATATACGTAATGAACTGTTTATCACTCTCTAGAATGATTAGGGATGATGGAAAGAAAATTGAGGCCTTTGAGCTGTGGTGCTGGAGAAGAGTGTTCAATATACCATGGACTGCTAGAAGAACAAACAGGTTTGTCCTGGAGAGGGTGAAATCGGGTTGCTCCTTGGAGTCAAGGATTCTGAAGCTTTGTCTGACATACTTTGGACATGTTGCAAGGAGGGAACAGTCCTTGGAAGGGGACATCATGTTTGGGAGGGTGGAGGAATAGTGCTAGAGAGGAAGATCCTTAATGAGATGCATCAATTCAGTGATTGGGGAGTAGGTTTGTCAGAGACAGTAAAGTTGGGACAGGATAGAACAGGGTTTAGGGCTCTTATATACAGGGTCACTATGAGTCGCAAGCGACTCAGTGGCATATAACAACAGATGCTTCTTCACCCTTGCATATTTCAAGTGAATAAAACAGAATCTTTGGAGTTAAAAAAGAATACTAAAGTCTTCTCAATGAATGTAGAAAATTATACTGACTGACAACACAATATCTTTGACATGGCACATCCTCTCAAATATTTTTAAATAAGATTCAAACTAATTGGGATATTCAAGCCCCAGTGGTTCAGACTTGTTTGTTTTGCTTGCCAAATATTATAAAAACATATTAGGTTTTGTTAAACTATCTTTTTTTCTTCAAAATACAGTAGTGATACATATGCATGAGGTTTTGCCTTTCCATATACAATCTTCCTATTTTTTTTTTACATCTTATTTTAAACATTAACAAGAATTCCTAGGAATCTGTTCTGGAAAACAATGTATTAGAATTTTGTAAATAAACTAGTATAATAAAAAAATTTTAAAATATATAAGAACTTTGTAGCACTGACCTAAAGCCATGAAACTCAAGGCTGAAGTGCCTGTGAGCACATTTCAAGAGCTGTCGTAACTGTATGCAGCTGATAACCTGGAGTATAACTTTTTTATTTCCCCACCCCCCAAAAAAATAAGTCCTAGAGGAAATAAAAGAACATTGCGTGTCAAACGTTTCTGTGTTTTTAATAATCTCTCTTACACTGCCAGCCCAAAATTCTCCAGTTTCATTTTCTTTCGCCAGCTTTGAATAAACATAAATCTGCTGCCCTTTTCTGAGGTCAATGAATCTACAATCCGGTGCATTGTAATCTTCTTGAGCTTTGGTCAGAGAAATAGTATCTGTTAGAAAAAAAGAAAAGAAATGGACTACATTTTAGGCTCCTGACTTTGATAATACTAGTATTAAAAGCAAAACATATGAGAAAACTAGGAAATCAGAAAGACTAAATATACAACTCACATTCAACTCAAGAAAAGCAGGAAAACCTGATTTTTAAGTACATCTGACAAAACCTTAGCCAAGTAAATTCTCTAAATAAAGAAACCAAGCGTACAGACCAGCAAAAACAACATTAATAATATGTACATTGGAGAACATTAATTTCAAAATAAAATTTCATTCTATGCTGTTACTGACTGCATTTTCAATTATATAATAGGAAAATAAGGGAAAAGACATATGAAATTCCTTACAAACACACTCGTCATCTGCACAGAGCTTCTTGGAAGCAAGTCTGTCCATGAATATTCCCTGCACAGTCCAGATGGTGACCAGACCTGGGAGGAAAAGTAAAAATATTCTCGCCATCTTTTTCAGTTGTTTTGCTACAAGTGGAAACTGACTTTAGTGATTCTTCCTTTTATGTGAAAGCTGGACATCTGGGGAGATGCCCATGGCCAATGGGACAGTGTCTCCTGCCCTCTGCATTCCTAATCAGTTGCTGGCTCCAGAGGCTACTTAGCATCTGGTTTTCCAAAAGAGAATCAAATTCTATTTCTTCTTTTAAAGACAAACCCTGTTCTAAATGGCCATCACTGATAAAGGCAGCCAGCTGTGCCTTTCATCAACTAACAAGACATTGAAGGGACTTGATTTTAAAAGAATTTTTATTTTTCTAGTTCCGCCCTCGTATTATTTTCATTTATGAGCAAACATATGCTAACTGTAGGGCTCTATTGAAAATCTAAGATCCATGTGTAGTGCAAAAAAGCCAGAAAGTACACATCTAGAGTTACATAACAGATAAAGGAAAATTCTTAGGTTATAAATCTTTCATGATGGGAGTCTTAGAAGTAGGGATGGGTTGTAGAATACCAGTTGATGACATCTGCAGGCTCAATTGTTTGGGGAAGGAAGGAATGAGGGGTGGGATGCAGGAGAAATGCAATTATTTTTTTACCTTTCTCCCTGAGACTACTGAAATTCAATCTCAAAGTATTCATGCATTCTAAAGGAGCTAGTGAGATAAGCCAGAAAAGCCTGTGTCTGTCACCTTTCTTTCCTGTTTCTAAGTACCTTTCCTTCGCATAGAGGGGCACTCCTAGAAGTCCCCAGAGTTGAAACAGCCTAATAAACAACTGTGGATGGCACATCTACTATATACCAGACAATGCTCCAGGCACTAGAGACAAAGCAGTGAATAATGCCAAGCCCATTTCCCCCATGAATTCACTTTCTATTAGAGAAGAGACTATTTTTCACAGGTGTCTGGGGCTGGCAGTGCTCACAAACCAGTCCTACCCACATTGTGCCTAGAATAAAGGCCCCTGAAAGATCTTCCTGTTCATTTTGGTCGGTCATGAGGCTTCAAATTAGTAACCTAAAGGTGACAATCTTCAAAATGAGGGCCAAGGTTTTTTTTTATATAAAACCACTATACAGTGCCAAGAAGTAAACTGGTTAAGCAAAATAGTTATAGTAAAACGAAGGAATTTTGTTATTTTGTTTGTGGCATCTTTGTGTGCTTTCTTTTCAAAGGAGGACCTTTTGTTTAGTTGGTCCTGGATTGGAAGCTTATGTTATTAATACCTTCATTATAGATGAAGAAACTGAGGCCCAGCAAAGGCCAGAGGTGATTTTGTTGCTGTTCACCTGATTCTTTTTTTAAATGCTAGTTTATTTACAAAATCAAATGCATTTTTTTTCAAGAACCAATTCTTCCAGTTTCCTTCACCCTCCCACCCATCAAACTGTACAATTTCCATGATTTATCTCCCCTCCCCCTAGACATCCAGATCCCTCTGCTTCCACCCTCCATCCACCTTTGGATCCTTATACTCATTCTGCAATAATGGTTTTATGCAATATTTATCCTTGTGGGATGAGTTAGTTCACTCAGCATAATACTCTCTAGTTCCTCCCAAGTTAGATAATAATTTACATAATCATTGCTCCTGTGTGCTGCTTACTATTCCATTATGTGAATGTACCAAAGTTCCTCTAACTATCTGTTTCTGGTTGGACATTTGAGCTGTTTCCATGTTATTGCAATGGTGAATAATGCTGCAATAAACATTGGTGTACACATCTTCATTTGTGCTTCAGTTCTCATTTTTTCAGGGTATATTCTAAGTAGTGGAATAACTGGGTCATAGGAAATTTCTATGTTCAGCTTTTTGAGGAAACACCAAACTGCCTTCCAGAATGGTTGTACCATTTTTACAATCCCACCAACAATTTATAAGAGTTCCTGTCTCACCACATCTTCTCCAATATTTATTACTTGCTGCCCTGTTAAACTTTGCCACTGTTACTGGAGTGAGATGATATATCATTGTGGTTTTGATTTGCATCTCTCTTATTGCAAGTGATTTGGAGCATTTCTTCATGTGTCTGTTTGCCATTTGAATATCTTCCTCTATGAAAATTCTTTCCATGTCTTTTGCCCATTTTATAATTCGGTTATCAGTCTTTTGCTTGTGGAGGCCCAGGAGTATTCTGTAAACTTTTATTATGAGATTCTTCTCTGAGATAGTATTACCAAATGCTTGTTACCAGTTGGTAGGTTTTCTTTTCACCCTGTTGGAAAAAGTTTTTGATGTGAACAGGGATTTAATCTTTAGTAGGTTCCATTCATCAATTTTATCCTCTTCAGATTGTACATTACTGGCTGTATTTTGCAGTCTCTTTCTATCTTGGACTAGCGCTTCTAAGCTTGATCCCAGTTTGTCTCTTATAAACTTTATGGTTTTTGGGCTTTACTTGTAAGTCTCTGATCCACCTTGAGTTGATTTTTGTGTATAGTGTGAGATGTGGATCCTGTTTCAGCTTTCTGCAGATGGAAGTCCAGTTTTGCCAACATCGTTTGTTGAAGAGGTTGTGATTTCCCCATTTGATAGCTTTGATTTCCTTGTAGAATATCAGTTGACCATAGATAGCTGGGTCTATTTCTGGGTTCTCTATTCTGTTCCATTGTTGTATGTGACTGTTATTGTACCAGTACCATGCTGTTTGGATTACTACGACTGTGTAGTAGGTTTTGAGGTCAGGGAGTGCTATGCCTCCAACTGCGTTTTTGTTTCTCAGAAGAGTTTTACTTATTTGGGGTCTTTTGCTCCTCCAAATAAATTTGATATTTTCTCTTTCAATCTCCTTGAAAAATGAATTTGGTATCTGGATTGGAATTGCATTGAACATGTAGATCACTTTAGGTAGGATTGTCATTTTCACGATCTTGAGTCTTCCTATCCATAAAAAGGGCACATTTTCCTTTTTTTTTTTTTTTTTTTTTTAGGTTTTTCATTGTATCGTTCAGAAATGCTCTGTCATTTTCTTTGTATAGGTCTTTTGTATCTTTAGTTAGGTTCCCTCCCAAGTATCTCAGTTTGTGGTTGGCTATTGTAAATGGTATTGCTTTCTTGATTCTCTTCTCTGAGTTCTCTTTGTTACTGTAGAGGAATCCTATTGATTTTTGGATATTGATCTTTTATGCTGCCACTCTATTAAATTGGCCTACAAACTCTAACAGTTTTTTGGTTGAGTCTTTGGGGTTTTCAGTGTACAGTATAATATCATCTGCATATAGTAATAGTTTAACCATCTCTTTGCTGATCTGGATGCCTTTTATTTCCTTCTCTTGTCATATTGCTCTGGCAAGCACTTCCAAAACAATATTGAATAGAAGGGATGACAGTGAGCATCCTTCTCTGGTCCCTGTTTGCAAGGAAAATGCTTTTAGCCCTTCTCCATTGAGGATGTTGTTGCTTCTTGGTTTTGCATTTTCATTATGTTGAGAAAATTTCCCTTTATTCCAATTTTGCTGAGTGCCTTTATCAGGAAGAGGTATTGATTTTGTCAAATGCCTTTTAATGGCTAAGACCATATTGTTCTTGTTATTTACTTTGTTAATGTAGTCAATCACATTGATTGTTTTTCATATGTTGAACCATCCCTGCATACCCATAATGAATCCTACTTGATCATGAGGAATTTTTTATTCTATTTTATTATTTTTTTGAGCATGTACCGTCAACTCCGATCTGATTGGTACAGGAGGAACTTGTCCCTCCATCCCTAGCACAGCATCTGGTGTATTAGAACGACGTACCTCTGGGATTGCAGTACAGCTTCTTGCCACCAGGCCATCAGAGCTCCCTTCAATTATTTTTTTATGTGCTTTTGGATTCTATTGGCTAGGATTTTGTTAAGGATTTTTGCATCTATATTCATGAGAGATATTGGTCTGTAGTTTTCTTTCTTGGTAATATCTTTGCCTGGTTTTCCTATTAGAATGACTCTGGAAGTGTTCCTTCTTTTTCTATGTTTTTGAAATAATTTAAGTAGAATTGGTGCTAAATCCTCTCTGAATGGCTGTGAAGCCACATGGTCCAGGACTTTTATTATGGAGAAGTCTTTTTATGACCTTTTAAATTTCTTCTCTTTTGATGGGTCTGTTCAAGTGTTTTATGTCTGTCTTTCTGGGTATGTGTTTCAAGGAATCTCTCCATTTCCCCTAGGCTTTCAAATTTTTCAGAGTATAACTTTTGGTAGTATTCTAATATCATCAAGTTAATTTACTCTGGTTCTATTGTGATGTCACCTCTGTAATGTTTTACTCGAGTTATCTGTGTCTTTATATTTTTTTTTTGTTACATTTGCCAGTGGTTTCTTTTCTTGTTTTTGTTTTGTTTTGTTTTTTAAGAAGAAAACATTTTTATTTTAGAAACTTGTGCTACTACCAAAGTACTTACACTTGTAATCAATTGCTAGGGTATGTATAGATGGTAAAAAATCAGTAATCTTTTAACTTAATCACGAAAGAAAAATTTACTTTCAATCGTTCCCAGAAGGCAATCAAGGTTCCTCATCGCTCCTTAATCTAAGCCCCTCGGAGATGACATTATCAACAGCTAAGACAGGGAGACGATGAACTTCTCGAAAGTGCCAGTGGTTTTTTGACCCTTTTGAAAAACCAGCTCCTGGTCTTATTGATGGTTTCAATTGTTTTTCTGTTTTCTATTTATTTTATTTCAGCTCTTGTCATAATTTCTTTTCTTCTAGAGGTTGTAGGATTAGATTGTTAATCTTTGTCTATTTGCTGAAGGTGTTGAGTGAGATCATTGATTCTTCTTCTTTCTTCCTTTTTTTTGTGTGTACCTATTACTGTGAACTTCTCCCTGAGGACTGCCTTAGTTGTGCCCCAGAGATTTTGGTAAGTTGTATTTTCATTATAATTTGTTTCAAGGAACTTTTTTTTAAATTTTATTTTATTAATTTTAATGAACATTTACAGAGATTTTGGATTTCCATTCATTCATTGTTTCATTTTTCTCCCTGCCCACCCCTACCAGGACTCTAGTTCACTCTTC